GATGACCCCTCGCTTCCATACTGGTGGAATACGGTTCTCTTCTAGACATCGCTGATAGAAAACAGCCAGTGGTTCTGCTAGATCACTAGCTACCGCCTGCAGAGCCTTTGGTCGGATGTTGTCGGCTCCGGGAGAACTGTGGATACGCAAGGATAACAACTTCTTCAACACAGCTTCCGCAGTGAAGGTGATGTTGTCTAAACCCGACGGTGGAGTATTAGAAATGAGGAGAATGTTTGGGCTCGTTACCTGCTGGAAAGTTTGGGAGTAATGAAGCCGTAGGAGATCAGCTGCTTCCATTGCTGATCGCGTGCACCCATCAGCCGTGACTAGTGCTGGAACCCCCCGCTTCACCTTTCGAAGGCCGTTAACGTGCCTGTACAGGAGTTTGCGGTTCGTGCAGAATCGCTTCATTAACTCCTGCTGATGAGTGACCTTGTCTTCGCGGATCAGTTTCACACAGAAGTTACGATGTGTCACGTATGCAGTCCAGGTTTCGGCATTCGAGCAGTCCTGGTGATCTCGCCATGCCAAATCCCTCCGGGACATACATTTACGTGTTCTGCTCCTCAGAAATGACTTATGCTTGTTTTTGGGTTGGAAGGACTTCTGTTCCGATGCGTGCGCAACCAGTGTGCTAAACGTCCTTGTAAAGGTTTCCCAGGCAACATCTGGGGGGCATTCGGTTAAGAAAGTCCAAGATGTATCCTTAACAAGCTTAGATAACACATTGTAGTGCGTGACAGTATGCACTTTATCATCCTCCTTTTCAGGGTACTCCGCATAGCATATATAGTCAAAGAGTAGAGTAACATGATCACTACGACCCAGTGGTGTGCTTGTAACTATCCCGTCAACCATGAGTTCTTCGTTAGTTAGCACAAGATCCAGTATCGACGGCTTGTTAGCAGTTCGAAATCTGGTGGGAGAGGTTACGTGGTTGTACAGAGGGTGGCTAGCAATTAGCTCTTGCAAGCAGGCTTTAAACTGCGTACCGTCGGTTGCCGGCGTTTCTATGTCGTGCACGTTAAAGTCTCCAGCGATAAGAATGTGGGTGTAGGACTTGTTCAAAGCAAACTGAAAAACGTGGTTCAGTTTGGAGTCCATTTCCGACGTTGAGTTTGGTGGGCGATAAATCACGGCTAGTAGACATGTGTCCTTGTTTCGCAACCATAGGCGGCACCAAAGCGAATCAGGAGCTCGGATTTCCGGGTGATCGATAACTTCACATCGGAGGTTTGTATTATAGTAAAGAATCACACCGCCACCCCTTCCGGTTCTATCGGTCCGAAGCAGCGACATACCGGGTAAATTGATCTCAGAATCGGTTATCTCAGGGTTTAACCATGTCTCTGTAATCATGACGAGGTCCCGCGGTTGTGAGGCATGGATTTCTCTAAGTTCGGCCAACTTGCTTAGAAGGCCTTGGGCGTTTGTGTACATGCAAGATAGGGCTTTTGTTGTTAGGAGTTCATTGATGGATGTCAAGTTTGTGTTAGTTTTTAAGCCGGCCGTTAGGTGGCCGGCCATTAATCGTTTTTTGGTTTATGTATTTCAGTCATGTTGCATGGCATTATTGAGCGTTCCTGAACAGACGTTTCACTCGTGCTGTGCTCTGTCCTGTTGTGTGCCGTGGGCGCTGTTGTGTCGGTCTCTCCGCAGGACTGTGCAAATAAAGAATTTGTAGCGTTTGCAAGTTCCATCGAATTGCTTCCGACTTTTGGCCGTTCGCCTGCTGCCTTTAGCCGGATCTCTGTTGGCAACCTAGCTCGAAACTTTAACCAGCTATCCAACAGAACTTGCGTCATTCCCTCGGAGTGTAGTATTACTTTCATTAGCCTTGGACCGCAGCCCTTGTAGTTAGGTGATGACGGAACTCTTGTCAGGGATTTGGCAATAACATTGTCAACAGAGAGTGCTTCGCGGATGTAGCACCACTGCTCTCGGTCATGTGTTTGCGCATCGTGATCAGAAGAATGCAGAAGCTCGGGAACACCATGAACAAATATTGTTTTCTTGCTATCCCTATTAGGAATGCCGCGTTGGTCAACTGCTTCTTTTGGGCGATCTTTCCAAGGTAGATCAGGTAATATGCGCACTCCGCTCGGTGAGTTGCGAAGACGAACTGCTGAGAGCAGGACAGCCTCTGTCTCATCTGCTGAGTCTAGTGTTACTCGAAGAATTCGAGGTTCACCAGAGTGCACTGAGGTCGGGTGACGCGCTACGCGTTGCAGCATTGCAGGCTCAACCCGAATACCAATCGCCTCGCAGATGGAACTCCACTGGTTGCGATCGTCTTGCAACTTGCCTTTTATTGTGCCAGATTTGGATTCGGGAACATTGGTGCACACGAGAGTTAACGCAGCGTGGTTTTGTCTAGCGAGTGTTGGCTTTATACTTTTTGCTGGCAATTCGGGTTGTTTAGAAGGCACCACTGGAGTTGACGGTGAAAGCTGCTTTGCGCCACGCGTGCTCGGTACTGAAGATGGACCTATGTGTGTCGCTCCCGGTGTGTTTGTCGACGCAATCGATGCGTACGTTACCTGCTTGTTATCTGTACCGGATTGCCTTCGGCTCTGAGCTGTCGGTGTCATGGCTGAATCTCCAAGTGAAGCGTCTATGTTTGGAGAAGTGGAAGCAGGCATGTTTGAGGCTTGTCCACTTATGGGAGTGAGGTGACCCAGTGGATTTAGAGTCACAGACGCTGCAGTGCGGTTGGAGCGTCTAGCTCTCTTCTTCGGCTTAGATTCGGAGCTTACTTTGGCTGGGTGAGGTATTATCGTGGCCATATTTACCTCCGTGGGATCGAGCTTAGTATTTACAAAATGGGCGATTATCTCAGTCATCCTATCGCACTTTTTCATGAGCAAAGATAAACAGTTGACAACTGGAATGACTTGACATGTTGGGCAAAACCAAATTGTGTCAGCAACCTTGTTTGTCTGTCTCACTTCTTGGACGGATTTGCCTACACATTGCGGACAGTACGATCTAATGCAGCTAGAACAGGTAATACTGATCTTAAGGACTTTACTGCAATTGTCTGCGCAACATAGGCGACGTTGAACCATTGGAATGCTAGTCGTCCTCTTATTGTTTACAGCAAGGCCTATCTAAGCGCTCACCTTGATGAGTGTTCTTTGCGCTAGGGGTGACGCACGAATAGGTCAGAACACGCACACGAATTGAGAGTTGTTCAACCGCACCAAGGTCAGGCGGTAGAGGCAGATGGAGGTCGTAACGCGTAGACTGTCGGGTTCAGCGATCAATCGACTCGCAGTTGAACACACACACACACACACAAAGCGGCAGCGTGTGTTAATCGGCCTGCCTTAAGCGACGATGCAGGTGGAGCGCTGATAAGCGTCCCTAGAGCTGTTCAGTTGATGAGCGGAGCAAAAAGGCTGTAACTTGGTTATGCTGCAACTTGCAGGGATGGTTGCCGCGTAGTTTGGGAGCCCTCAGCTTCTTCTTCCGAATGAGACCAAAATCTTTTCCGAAAAACCGGTTTGATGTAGTTACACAAGTGGAATTCGGCAAAGAATATGCCGAAAACTGGGAATTGGAGCAAGAGTATAATCCACACAGGTTAGATCCAAGAGTTGGGAAGCACTGAGTAGAGCTCGTCGAACTGGTTCGAACGAGCGCACGCACAATATTGTGTGGGGAGAATTAGAGTGGCCACAGAGGGCAAAGCGAGAGCCGAGTTAAAGTGCGGCCGCACGGGAACTTGTCACTTGATTACAAGAACACCCAGTTTCAACCATTATCTTGGCGCCGGTTAACGCAACGCTATTATCATAACGCGACCTAAGTGCTTTGTTATTAGGTTCTACGAAGAGGACGGTCAGGACGAACTCATGCAAGACTACACCGGTTATGCTTTATACGTAGCTCCAGAGTTCTTTCAGTAGAAATTTTTTGCCACAGGACTTAGTAGTCATGTGATGTTGGGCAGCAAATGAAGCTGACAAGAATTATTATTCGTTAAGGTACATAGAGCAAATCCACTGTCACTGGGTGTTAATGTGACACGTCCAGGGAGAGAAACTTCAAATATCCCGACTTTCACACGATTAGAATCCGTGACTGGCTACAGAAGGTACACCTGAACGATTAACTAGCTCATATAAATGTCTTATTTTCTTGAAAAGCTGAGTTTGGAAATGTTTTATCGAAGCTGATCGAAGGCAGAAGCGAAGATACAGGTATGAGGAAAGTAAATTAGGTTGGCACTGGACAAACATGCTCTTACGTTACTCAATATCGATTGTAAATATCAGCCAAAAGTTTTTCAACTTATAGAGATGGCAATAATTCTATGGCCTACATAAGAGTGCTAAGAGTCTGAGTCAGGTAATTTGGTTGATGGACAGTTAAAACGTTGACCTAACGGGGCAAACGTTGCATAGATCGAACAGGGATGCCATTCAATGCCACTGAATATAGTCATTGTGGTAATAGCTGATTATTTCAGCAAATCTGACCGACGGTTGGAAACTGGCAAGAGGCTATTCGATCGCCGCAGACGCTGATCGCGCATGGACGAGGCAAAGAGAGAAATCGGTATCGGCACATTTTTGTCAAGAACAACGACAAAGTGGATTGGTTGGGAGTGTTATGAGCGGACGAGGAGTGTGATCTGGCCAAACAGACGGGTAAGAGCTCAGGCGTCAAAGCATGACTCAAGGCGGATGAGGGGGATGGAGCAACAGTCGATTGAAACGAGCAGAAAGCACGACCCAATGAACACAGGCTGACCTCTGAGAAGGCAACCAACGGAAAGTAACGAATGTGAGGGTTTCACGATACTTCGTGCATGAACTCATTGGATAGCAAAGATGGCATTCAGATAACAACTAGTACCGGCCTAGCCAGTGTCCTATTCCATGCTGACAATGCGTGTAGCACAACTTCACATATGGTTAACCAATGAACATTTGTCACAAACATTCAAAGCGTCAGATGTAAATGCCAATGACCCCAGTACAGATACTTACACGGAATGCATCATTTAGTTGAGCGATTCTTCCACTTTTTGAGAGCCAATTTTCCTTTAAGATGTCAGTAAATTGCTCCAATTTGACCGATGGAACCACTGAAATTGAGATAGAACAGATAGCCGCGATAAAGAGAATTGACTGCTCGATCTGCATTTCTCCGCAATAGCGGCTGAATGTCAGAAAGAAAACTGTTTCTGTGCAAGCAACATACTGACTCAGAAATGTGACAAACTGGAGGTGCTTGTGAAATGTGCGACGGCTGATAGAGCGACTGCATTGTGATTAGATACAGCAGAACTTGGGTTGAGCAACGCTTTGGAACAGAGCAGCCAAACCAGGAGTATAGGCACTAGAATACAGGTATCCAAACCAAGAGATCAAACAGGCGAGCAGCCTGGCTCTGCATACCTCCGGGATCCCAAGCATACCTACAGCAGTTTCTCCCATGGGGTATATCTGTGTCACATGCTGCTCCATTTCATCCGGGCTTATCAACCACTATGAAGGGTGAATTTTCAGCTGTAACACGCATGTGATCGAAACGGTAAAGTGAACAACACTGTAACCTTACCATGTGTTCCCTTTAGCAGTGAAAGCAGCCTAATTAAAGCTTACGCGTTTGTTGGAAGCCAGTCATGAGGCGATAACAGCTTTTGTGGCGATAGCAATACGGCGCCAATCGACCGGTCATCACATACGGCCAGGCTGTTTTTCTCAGTTGCTAGCACAGCGACCCACTAACCACTTCGCAGGAAACCCTTTTGCTGGCTTTTCACCTGCATGAAGGCCGACTACAGATCGATCGAAGCATGACACCTTCAGTGCGGCTGTGGTGTCTGGCTAACGTTCACCTCTCACAGTCGAACGGCTCGGTGTGCTCTGTGATCGTAGACGCACATGCCGCGCCTCTGTGTCCCATTTCACCCCCTGCCGACAAAGCAATTTGCGTCATTGGTTAGTTAGCAATTCAGCGTACCTGGGTGCGTCAGCACCTGAGTGTCGCCGCTCTTAGCTTCGGAGATGATTAATAACGCACTCTGTACACCGGCAAAGGGAGCAAATTCAAAGTCAGCAATGGAAGCAAAGCGACGGAAACTCACTCTTTGCTCATGATTTAAAGAAATGACATTACTTAAGTGAAACACTCTCCGTGAATGACATACTTCCAAACCAACTTCAAGAATGCCTTTATAACCTAACTATAAAGACTGTGGTCCAAAATAGCGGAAAGTTATGTTCCATTCCAAAAATTGGTTGAACGGGCGCTAGGAATTGGCAGAAGTTACTGCCATCAGAAATACCCATGAAGGCGGTCGAAGCCGGGCCATCACTTTCTAAATAACAAAACCAGCTACACTTTGTTGCGAGCACAGTTGACTGGATTTCTGAACCGGAACTCAATGCAACTCCCCAACCATCTGAAGAAGAAACGGGTAATCTGACACCAGCCACGACCGGAGGGTTAAGTAGCGGGTGCTCTGCGCACCAACCCGAACCGGCCCCTAGAGATAGGCCAGCAATTCATGTAGAAATGATTGTCATCCTACGCCACAAAAGTCGGTGTAAATTCACAGGGAAAGCTTGTGTTCACCTACAATTCCGTCATCCGTTACACTAACATGCTTGCATACAAACGCCCAAGCTCTTCCCAGAATGTTAACCCAGCTGCGATCCTGTCAAGCATCAGCAGCAGTAATAGTAGCAGTGGTAATCTCAGCTGTCTATCAACTAGACAAATAGGCAACATAAAACCATGGAGATCAGTGGATAAGAGACAGTCATTGCGACATAATCATCGTGGCATGGTAGTTGAAGGTGAGCAACATACTTCAGCCAATATGCCGCAGGAAGAATGGAACATTTTGACCAAAAGTAGAATAAAACATTTTTAGTTTGTTTTGCACACGCCGATTTTGCTCTTTTTTGTCATTTTAATGTTTGTGGTATTAAACATATGTATCAATACAATAATGTACACAACTCCACTGATTCCGGTTGCGGGCCATGTCTTCAAGAGTGCTAAGCCATTGGCACTCCTCATCTCTGGGTCCCCATCCTGGAAGAGGTACGGATCCAACAGCAGCTAGACACGACGTCAGCGATTTCATGTGCTGCCGCCAAGTGGAAGGCTGACCACCACGCAGTCGCCTCCAACCAGATCCTTGACGAGCGAATAGAGCGCGACGCGGTAGACGTTCAGGTGCCATGCGTGGGACGTGACCGAGGCATTACTATTTACTCGCTGTTGCCAACAAACACGAGCGATCCTCCTTAAGCAACCGTTATCGAACGCAGAAAGACGACGCATGTCTTCTGTGCGAATCGGCCAGGACTCACACCCATACAACAATACTGAGCGAACTGATGCGCTGTAAACGCGGCCCTTTAGTGAGAATTAGACGTCGCGACGACACCACAAGTGCCTCAAAGTGACAAATGCTGATCGAGCTTTAGCGATACGAAGAGAAACTTCTTTGTTGATAGTGCCGTCAGCAGAAACACAGCTCCCAAGGTGGACGAAACTATCTACCTGTTTAAGTTTTACACCTTCGACAGTGAGCACGGGAGCAGGTGAAAGCCAATCCTTGAGCAGTACTTTACACCTCGACAGGGCGAAGCTCATGCCATACTTAGATGCTTCAACCGCCAAACGATCCAGAATGAGTTGCATACCCTGAAGATCATCACCAAGTAAGGCGATATCATCAGCATAATCTAAGTCGGTCCCGCGCTCACCCGGTAGAAGCTCTAGGCCAAAATGTTGGAAACCTTCTAGAACATTCGACAGAACGTCTTCGATTGCGAAGTTGAAGAGGAATGGCGACATAGGGCAGCCCTGTCACACACCGCTATTGACAGCGAATTGCGAGGAAAGCTTGTCATAGACCCTCACTCTGCCGGATGTATGAAGGTAAAGTTCTCGTAAGATGGCGGTAGATTTTTCTGGCACCCCATTCTTTAGCAAGCAACGCCATAAAGCAAGTCGATCAACAGAGTCAAAAGCGGCACGTATGTCTAAGAATGCAATGATAGTGGACCTGTGCTAAATGTGGCGATGTTCGAGGGGCTGACGGAGCGCGAATTTGATCCACGCATCCGCGGCCGGGGCGGAAACCAGCTTATTCTTCACGGTAGTATAATTCACGTACTGGGGATAGTCTGCGAAGGAGAATGGATGCCGATAGCCTAGAGGCAACCGAAATAAGACTAATCCCGCGATGATTTGCACATGAAGTGTGAGCGCCTTGCTTGAAAATCGGGACAATAACTAATTCGCCCCAAGAGGAAGGCACTTTCTCTTCATGCTAAATTGTTGCGAAAAGCACGGTCAGCTGGTTGATGATCGCCACACCGCCGTACTAGAATAGTTCCGGAGGAAGTCCGTCTAAGCCGGCAACCTTGAAGCGCTTCAAGCGTCGAATATCGAGGCCGAGTTCCGCTTCGCTGGGTGGATTCAGTAGGACGAGCCATGTTGGACAACAAGGTGTACAGCATGTACTAATGGATGGTGGAGGCCAGTTGAACTGCGAGTGAAAGTGCTCGGCCCAGCGGTCCATACGCCTCTGTTGGTTGGTGATCGGAGACTCATCCACCTCACAAATGACCTCACTGACACCAGGCTTCCTGAGGCCAGTGGACCGAATGAGTTGGAAAAGCCTGCTAGTGTTACCAGAGAGGGTAGTGGTCTCCATCTCTAAAGCACGCTCAGGCCACCATGTCTCGCGATCCTTGCATAGGCTTTGCTTGAGCAGCCGGTTGGCAGAACGGCGCCGCTTGTTGCAATCTGAATCCGCGGGGATATGTTTGCGGCGTTCAAACAGCTCCAGAGAACGAGCAGAGATCCAAGCCTTCAAGGGGCGTCGAGTTAGGTCGCAGCATGAGTGTCCGGAAATGGTCATTGCCTTCCGTATACAAGTCCAGTGTTGTTCCACTTCTTGCGATAGATTGCAACTGAGTGCACATGCCAGTGAAGACTGGTAGCTCGCCTGGACAGAGGAATCAGTTAATCTGTTTACATCAATCTTGCGGTGCTTCGTGTTTCGGGATCCTCCAAAACACATACAGACTTTCGCGCAGACCAGACCATGATCAGAGTCAACGAAGGTGGACCAAAAGGATCTGCAGTCCAGTACGCTACCGCGCCATCTGAAGCTAATTGCAATGTGATCAATTTGAGACCACGGTTGTGTTGAGAAAGGGGGACGTCAAGTTGCGGAACGCTTCTTCGTACGCCTGGAGTTAGTGCTCGAAAGAAACAGATGGTTGTCTTCGCACAATGTGAGAAGTCTCTCTCCGTTATCAGAGCGGTTCTCATCGACCGAGTGATGACCACCAAGGTGGCGTTCGTATGGTAACAGGCGGTCAACCCGTGCATTAAAATCCCCAGCAAGGATAACGACCTCCGACATTTTAGCACTGGTCAAGAGCTGTGGTAGATCCCGGTAGTATTCGTCCTTGACCGAGTCGCCACTGCAGTCAGTTGGAGCGTACACGGAGATCACAAACAAGTTGCGTCTGTCTTCGCGGTGCCTGTTGATTCTACATGAACCTCGAAGCCGAACTGCACATAGTCGGCTGTTAATCGGGAACCAGTCCATTAGTGCCGCCTCGGCCTTGCGACTTAGTGCTATACTTACACTAGCAAACCCGCTGAGGCTGTTTCTGGATCTCCAGAAAGACGCAGGTGATATCTAGCTTCTTGGTCAGTGGGGGATGTCAATGTAAGCACAGTGTTGGGAACTTGCAATCGGGTTTATGAGAGGCAGCGGACATCAATGTCTAGGGAATATAGGGTGCGCGCTAGACCGGCTTGCTGTCCATTCCGCATGAGTGTGCGAACGTTGAAGCACGCCAGACGGAACGAGGATCGGGGACGAAGTAGAGCTATAGGTTGAAGTCCTTGGTCTGCGGTGCAACCGGAATCGCAGCCAGATTGTTGAACACATGAATCGGGTAACGGAAAGTGAGGATTGTTAGCAAACAAACAATTGGCGTGTGATGAAGTCGCGTGAAAGTGACTAGCAGAAACAGTAGCTGATGAGCACGTTGTAATACAGTCCATGGTTTTGTGAGAGGGCGTGATACTACCCGGTTG